CTGGGCGGATACATTTCATCACCTGTGAGAGAATTTATACAGAGAAGATCATCAGATTTGTAACTTCATGATGTTTATATGGCTTAGCACTTCATAACTTTATGATGTTAATATGATTTATCAAATCTAAATACAGGTAGTGAATAGATTTTAACCAGCCTATAAGGATATTTAGCATTACTTGATAACGTCATCATATTATGGACTGTAAGTATCATATCTTTGCTAAGATAAAGAAAAGGTTTGTAATATAATTTGTTATGTACCCATTTGGAGCCTGAATATTAATTTTTATTTTCAAATGACAGGTGTCCTGTAATTGTAATCACATACGAATGTTTTCAATTATCTTTGACCCCACCACCCATATATTAATCATAATGTCTATTTAAGTTTGTCTTCAAAATATCTATAAAACTGTAGTGTTTCATTTAAACAGCATAGTAATTATGTATATGTATAACATAGTATATACCTCCTTGTGAGCCTCACTGCTGAGCCTGTTGCTGTAACGTAGTACTTCAAGCTCCTCATCCGTCTTAAACACACGGCTATCAATAGGGATGAAACAAATGTCATTAGTTCTTTAGTTGAAAGATTTAATCATAAAATTGTACAGGACTTGAGCCAAAATTAACATATATAATTAATCGTATTACACAAAAACTTATGCAATAATTACTTTACGAAATGATAATAAACATCTCAGAGTTTTACAAAGTATTTACCGTTACCAGTTAACAACCTACCACTCCATAATCTGAGGATGAAGTGCTGTGTTGTCCACTTTAAACCTGCATTAAAAATAGAAAATAACCATTTAGTTATAGCAGCAATTAATTACTGAGACTAGTAAACTCTTCATACAACTGTGTAAGATTGAAAATTCTATCATGTATAAATTGGATTAATACCGAGGCTTTGATCCTACTTCATAGCAATGAGGGTAGAACTAACAATCCCCCATTTACAAGTGTGTAAGATTTGTTATAATATTTCTACTAAGACCCCTCAAAAGATTTCTACCGAGACCTCTCAAAATGGTTTCTTCTTATGTCTCATAACTTGAACTAAGACAAATTTTACTTATGAATTTTTTTTCTATTAACTATCCCCTTTCCAAGATTGATATTTGTAACAGGCTAAGACGGGGACCTACCGGGACTCTTACTGTGAGATAGACAGTGTTTATTGGTTTTACTTACTCACTGATGCCATCAAAGGCTGCCTCTCTAGTGTATTTACTGCTGTCTGTGTCCATACCCCTCTGTAACACAAACATCACAAACTGTTTACTTATAGCTGTCCCACATTGGCTGTTTCTGATTGTGATTAGTATACATTTCAAATTTCTGATGTCTTTTTGGGAAGAACACAATCTGTGTCATCAAAAACAATGCTTGAAATACACCTGATGGAAAATATTATTGGGCTAATAACCAATAACATGTGTGTAAAACAATGAATTATTGTGTTTAAAAATATGGGAACTCATATTAGAAATCACTGCTCGTTGGTAATGGTAATGATACTGGAAACATTTCACATTTTTATATAAAAAACATTTCACATTTTTTCTTTAGGTTATATACACTGTACTTGTACTATCTTACACATTATACCTGAGATTTGTGTTTAGTTGTCACCCTTAAAGAAGGCCTCGAGGGAGAATAGTTTTGTAACCAATTGAGATACCTTCTATAAATAAAGCATTATTATTATTAAAGATATATGCTACCTAACATATTTTAACTGTAATTTTGTGTCAAAGTTGTCTCCCTAAAATTATATTCTATCATACACAATTGTCATTTATATAGTACATGTGATTTGTCTTTTGAGTTATCTTCTAAAATGATTTATTGTAACTTAAAAAGTACACGGGTGTTTTCGAGAGATTTATAAGCATACATACCTGTACATATAAAGCCTTAACCATGTATGTGTATTTTGTTTCATTTTTGTTAGAGCCGCAGTATGGTAACAGAGTACAGTAGAAATGGTCTGATCCTAATAATAAAGGGCATGTCTCTGATAAACATGGATTGTGGATTTATCCAGCAGAACACACCTACTTATAATACATATACATGTATATATTTATAAACCCATTTTAAATTTAAAAAAAAAAATAGTTATTAAAACCTGTTTTAAATTAAATATCACCTACTCGGTAACAAAATTAGCATAGGTCCAGTGGATTTTTCACAATTTGCTGAGTACAAAAAAAGAGCTAGCTTTTGTTGTGTAGACACAGATTTGTAAATGGCCAAAATTGTTTTCTCAAACCAAATTCAACTTCTTTTCTTGAAACATTATGAAGCCCACATGATCCACTATATCATGTATATGCCAATATATGTTAGTGCTGATTTTTTTCTAAATTTTGATACATGCAATATTACAGGGGTTACAATATTCAATGTACAAAAATATCACCCATGGCCACTGTACGCTACTGTACACTGCTACCTGAGTATACTTATAACCATCAGTTTCCTTTATACATATTGTAATGATTAAATCTATCTGTAAATATAAACTACTTTTCATAGGAGCAGTATTATTAATTGTTGATAATTTACCATGTTATATGCATAATGACAAAAATATTTTTAAAAAAAATAATAATACAGTACAAACAAGTACAATTATATCAGCCATTTATAAGAAGGGAAAGAAAACAAAAAAAGTGAAGATATAATAAGTTAATATACATTACCAAAGTGAGAATCACTGAAGGTGCCTTGGTCTTGAGAACTTCAGCAATCTGAAAGATACAAGTACAAAAGTCATTGCATAACATAGTAATAACCCAGCTATATTGTCAAACAACTATTTACTAAGACACTTGTCCATATAACACTAGCTGGATAGTGGGTGGGGGTGGGGGTGGGGGGTCAGATACAGGAGTGATTGATTCACAAAGCCAGACTACAAATGTCAGTACACACCCCATTCGTGTAACATACACATGTAAGTATACACCCCTTTATGTCACAACCATATTTGGTGACGATGCCAAGATGATTCTCAACAAAATGATGTATTATTAAAGTCTGAACATTAAACTCCTTATAATGAGGTTGGAGATCTCCCTGTCTCAACTACACATGGGTAAAAGATTTGTCTTAGCCAGTTATTCCATAGTAGTTTGACAGGTCCAGTAAAACAGAAATCTTGGTGTTATGAAAAGTTTTGGCGTATATAAGATTTCATAAATCAGCATAAAAATTTGGCACACCTAAACATATTGACTACATTATTGAAACAATAGATGCATAGGCAAGATTATCATATGTAAGATGAGTCCTAGACTCCATGTTTTATTGAATTTAAATAAAGTAAATGTACTATTATTATTATTATTATTTAATAAAGTCCCTGGTATCTTTATTGTCCTGAAAATAACACTTTACCAATGCAATCCTGATCATGAAAAGTGAAGTTATTGATAGATTTCTTGATGTCACAATTATTAACATACTAATGTACTAGACACCTATGTGATAAATATTTCAGTAATATAACTAAATAGTGAACCGTGCGGGCAGTCACCCATCCAACTACTGACCACTGACGTTTCTGAACTTGTGAGCAGGTCCCCGGGTTATACTGCATCACAGGAAAAGCTAGCTTACCAGTAAGGCAGTATTTCGCCTCATATACCTTAGCTGTAACACTGGTAAATGCAGGATATTTTACTTACATCACAGGCCCATTGAGCTTCATCTACACCATATCTCACTTTGAAGTCCTCCAGTCCTAGAAGTCTGAAGATAAAACAGCAAACATCTATAGAGAGATCCTTGCATTCACCATTGAGAGATCATAGAATGCTGCTTGTGTATAAATAAATGTTCTTTTCTACTTATTTCTTTATTCTCTTCTTGAACAGATGTACAGATACTAAGAAGTTGGTGCGAGCCTTTGCTGGGCTTGTTCAATGCTTAAGTTTCTCAACAGTAGCCTGCTTTTCATCAATTTTGAACCAGCTTTCAGAATACGTACAGGTCAACATTATAGTATGTAAACATTGAACTGGCTTTTCTTTAAAACTTAACAACCTGTTTAAAAATATTATGAAAACACTCTAATCCATCTCAAACTGGAGTTAGTGCATGTCACTAGTGACAAATTAAGGTATCATGCCTATTATGTTTTGTCATTCATAGTAATTTTAAATCAAAAGGTCCAATAAGGCTGCTTTGTTTAACTGTTTTTCATTAATATTCAATAATATTTTCATTACAGGCTAAATATCATTACTTTACACCTTATGGGTTTTTGTTGTAAGACTTTTGTTTCTTTTACTCATGGGAATTTCAAAGTTAGTCAAGGTCATTTGTTTAGACAAAATTAATAGCCTTAAAGTCCAGCATGCTACAGGCCAAATATCATGACATAAAGCCTTTTAGTTCTTTAGAAGAAGTTTTTTCAGCATTATAAGTTTGACTCCTGTGAAAGGGCCAGGTCATTCCATTTTCTGGAAATTTGTAGCACTCAATGCCAGCCAGCTACTGGCGAAAATATTGTGATCCTAGAGCTTTTGTTTTTTCAGAAGAAGTTGTTTTAGTGTTGTGGCAAATTTGATTCCTGTGATCTTACAGATATATGTATATATATATATTGTAGGTCCATGTTATTTCTTTTCTGAAAGTGTGTAGCATTGATCCATGCCAGCAAACTTCTGCTCAACCTTCAGGAGACACTAGTTCATTCTGACAAATTTGACCCCTTTGACTTTGAATATAGGTCCAGGTCTTTCCGTTTTTGTGAAATTTGTACCAGCAAATCACTGGACATATATCATGACTCTAGGCCTTTAAGTTCATAACATGTCATTTCAGTATTTTAATGAATTTGATCTTTTTGAACTTGCGTTCACATTTCCACAAATGTACATTCCTATCCTCACCATTCTCTCAATACCTATACATATATCCTTCTCCCCTGACATCTGAACACTACAACTGTTTCTTACCAAAACTTTAAAAAGCGGTTATTAAACATTAAAACATTGACTAAAATTTACACATAACTTTATTCACAGTAATAAGGATTACTCACAACAGCAGGAGTTTACAATTTCATATCCTTAGAACATTTTTAAGCCTGCAGTTTGATTTTGAAAATTTCTACTAGCCTACATTTTCATAGCATTGAAAATTTTCTGTTGCCAGGCCAACATGAAATCTATTAGCCCCAGGTGTCAGGCTATATGAATAGCTAAGTACATTCATTATCATTATATTTTAATTAACATAACAGAAATGTTAGCATCTCGACTCACTTTCCCATCCATACAGCATAAGACTCTGGTAGCTTCGGAGGAAACAGAACACATTTCTGAGTATCAACATCTATAGCTCCAAAGAAATCTGGCTCCTCCACTCCAAAGGTCCAATGGAAGTACGACTCCTAACGACAGGAAACATGCGCTTATTTGTGCTGCTTCAGATATTTGGTAAGTTTACAAAATCATGAACATTGACTTTAAGGGATATCAAGGGCACTTATAAAACTGCCTTTTCATCACTCTTGTACTGTCAGATGCTTTTGAAACCTGAAATAATGCTCATTGTGATTAATAGACATTTAATTGATTTCTCCTGTCCTGTTAAAAAGTATACAATGCAACATACCTGTCTAAAGATAGGTTCATGGTCTGAAGAGTGGCGTGTCTCCGACTCGCCGCCCTGTAGTAGTACAAGTGCACCTTTGGGAACCTTATCCTTCAGACTTTCACAGAGTCTATTTCTGTTTAATTTAAACAGATCTGCTGAAACGGCCAGGGTATGTACCCCTCTGCAAAATGCAGGCCTGCAAAAACGTATATTCATTAAGCCTTAAATTTAAATTGGCTAAAAGGCCCAAGGATCCTGATTCACTCACATATTAAACAGTATTTGAAAAATGTATTAACCAGGTAATGCTAATTGATTACAAAAAGCTACAACCAATCAAGAGACCAAGACAGTTGTGTTAAATTTTGTCACTTATGACTTGATAGCCCTTCACCCTGGGCAGGTAAAATAATAAGATGCAACAGGAAAAGTCCATTTATTTGAAAACAATTAGTTATAGTCCTTCAATCTAGGTTTGTTAATGTTAAACTGATATTGCTGATACATGTGTCAATTGTCCAAGACAACTAGTTCCATCTTTTCTAAGTTAAATCATGATTTCTTTTCTCCTTAATGTAGGATGTTAATTTATATGAGAGCATCTCATATTTAACTACAGCAGTTAGCACACTCATGAACCTGTCTACAATTTAATTGGGTAATGATGAGGTTTGATATGGTGTTGTTATGGAATTGAAACCATTAACAAATTATAAGCAAAACATGTCATTATCTTGATCTCATGTTGGAAAAACTTTAAAATAAAGTATACACGACTATTTATTAACGCATGCAATTATCTATATACCTCTTGTTAAGTGTAATAAATATAACAAAAGAATACCAAAATGTAAACTTATAATATGTAAAAGTAAGGTTACTTTAAAAAAGTTTTGTATGTATGTAAAGTTTATATTACTAAAGGGGAATTTTATTCCACTGAAAAACATTTGTTAAACTTTCTGTTAATATCACATTTCACTGTGTAGAACATTTGACAGAAATCAGCATGTGTGACATTAAGAGGAAATTCATCATCATATTTCTAGATTTAGAGAGCACACAAATTGTTGGATCAAGTGTCACAACCTTCGTGTTGCTGGGGAATTTAGGAGGAAGAGTGTGACTCACTATAAGACGCAAAGGTCACAGCACAGGGGTTCGTTACAAATGTCTGAAATATACACATATGCTATACTGATATGGGTCACAGCGCAAAAATTCTATGACAGTAAAGGTCTCAGACCTGAATGTATTAGATTCTATAAAGTGGAGCTCTGAGACCTGAATGTATTTGATTCTATAAAGTGGAGCTCTGAGACATAAATGTTGTGTATGTGTGCTGTGACCCAAATCAGTGTAGCATTATGTGTATTTCAGACATGTGTAACGAACCCCTGTGGTCACAGTAACTTTCTGTAAGAGTTCAAAATTTTACTTTCAAAAGGACTTCTAACCTATTTAATTATAAATTAACTTATGATTACATGTATATCAACAGATCAAGTGCTACTGCAGATTTGCTACTGTTATAACTGGCTATGCTGTCGCAATGTCGGCAAACATTCGTAGTGCATCTGTGCATATTACAGCTGGCTGTATTAGGCTAGTGGAAAGTGAAAGTAACCATTATGGAAAGATTAAACTGTCCAAGTAATTTATATAGTTCTTCAGGATGAGCAAATATGTCCAATCATCCCTCACATCTTATCATGTACAATAGCTATATATACTTACTGTGCCCTGTATGCCGCCATCAGTAAAATTAAAGCAGTCGGTAGTAATATATAACAAGTCAGATGACAGGAGGCGGATGGACTGTTCCGAGTAGCAAACACGCTTGTGTAAGATAAAACGTCGTTCATGTAAAGAAACTCAGAGACGCAGATCAATATTCAACATGGATGCGCCCAGGTATCAAAGTCCACTGAGTTGGTGATCCTGCTCTTTACTGAAAGTCTTGGGTTTGATAAATAAAAACTATACTATGGCAGCTATTCTGAAGCACTGGAGAGAAGCGGCTACTTTGATCTTAGTTGCCAAAAGAGCTCCAGCGATTACTGGTATCGGCAACCAGATAGAAAAGTGTACAAGAAAAAAGTATGATTACGATATTTTGATGTTGAAAAGAAGCAGCAAAAGTAAGTTCATGCCTAAGCTGTACGTATTTCCTGGAGGTGCTGCCCACGATGTTGACTTTTCGAAAGAATGGGTTAGTGTTTTCAAAGACTGCAACATAGATAGGTTGTTTGAATTCATGAAGCGTGGAGGAACTGGGCAATATATGTTTAGCAGACGACGCACTCCAGAATTTGAACACGTACCAAGTGAGCTAGCCTTTCGGATTTGTGCTATACGAGAAACATTTGAAGAATCTGGAGTTCTTTTAGTGAGAAATGCTGACGGGTCACTGCAAAGCAGTAACCTAGACGAAGTTCCTGTCTTTGGCAAAGTTAGCAGTCTTTCAGATTCAGTTATTCAATCTTGGAGGCAGAGAGTGAATAAAGATGCCAAAGAGTTCTTAAAAATGTGCCAGGAATTGCAGGTCGTGCCAGACGTTTGGTCACTCAATGAGTGGGCTAATTGGTTGACCCCTGTCATAATGCGTTCTGGTGAGAGTCGGTCAAACAGACGGTTTGATACTGCATTCTACCTGTGTGTCTTGGACCATATGCCTCCAGCTATTCAAGATAATACAGAAACTGTGCACGCAGAGGTAACAATCTTTAATGAATAAGTAGATATATATATATATATATAAGTCACAAGGACTTATTAATTTTTTATCTACAATATATATATATATTTGAAGATAACAATTTAAGCTTGATCCAAGTAACAAATATTTTTTTAGTTAAAACGGTACTATTGTTTCACTAAAATTGATTACTTAATTTATTCTTGTCTAGGTCAGATATATATGCTACAGGTCTGTTTGACCTCTTGTATGAAAAAACAACAAAACATTTGCAAGTAATCCTTAAAAAGAGACATGAGTTTGATTGGAGTTGACATCCTGATCAGGTGGTAATGAAAGGTTGTGCTGTGATGACTTTTGTTCCATCTTAAGACTTACAATTTATGTTGATGAATGAAGCCTGTGTGGAAAAATATATATGTCGGGTAAGATCCTTATTTTCTGTACAATAACTGAATTACCATTTTACTATTCCAAATTTCAGTGGTCCTCTCCTGACAAAATCATGAATGATCGTTCCGAAGAAGGACTAGCCCCACCACAAGTGTACGAGCTTTGTCGAATGCTCCACTTCACCTGTGCTGAGAAACTTAACCACTTTGCATGGACAAGGGCTCAGACTTGCAGTCGTGTAGAGAGATACTTCCCCGTTCTATTACGCTGTAATGATGGGGTGGTTGTCGTCTATCCAGGTAAGGTATTAACACTAGTTTCCCTGGAGTGAAGAATTGTTTCTGTAATGGCACAAAATTCTATGTCGAACCTTGGCAAGGGCAAGACAATCTGGGGCCGAATAGGGAAAAACCTTTAAAATTCTTCTTCTTCTACCATAGGGATTAAGGAATTTCATTCCAATTTGGTCTGGAACAACTTAGGTCAAGGGCACTCAATTTTGTAAATGGTGGATGTGGCCCCAGAGGGGCGGGACCCAATAGGGGAAATACAGGTAAAACCTTTGAAATCCTTCCACCATATGGATAACGGGATTTTATCCCATTTTTGTCTCCATGAAATTGTCTAGTAGTGCCTGTTACTATTAGGGTGTATTCATTAAAACAAGATGGCCACCATCTTTGATTTTGACATTTGAAGTTTGCTCTCGCTATAACTCCAGAAATACTGGATGGATCATTCTGAAATTTCAAATGTCCATACAGCACCCACCATGGAGTGCTATATCTTAACCTCATATTAAGTACTTTAGACATGTCCAGGTGAGTGATACAGGCTCTCTGGGCCTCTTGTTATCTATTTGATTGTTAACTTATAACAATTCTTTTTTATAGGTGATGAATTGTACCCAGAGGAACCCGACTGTGAGGGGAAGAACCCCATGATGTCATTAAATTTTACTGTCGAGGAGATTAAACAGAAATACCCCCGTATGAACAGGGGTTTTGATTCTCATGGACGACTCGAAGTTAATGTACAGCCCAAAGATGGACACAAAATACCATTGCAAAATCTCTCATCCATTGGAATGACTATTGCAAAACTATAATGATGTACCACTTAGACACCTGTGTAATATATACACTTGTATCTGGATATATCTATCTAACAGACATACTATTTATCATATACCTCGTACAGATTAGTTGGGCATTACGAGTAATTAGAAAATGAAGCTACAACCAGATCCATTATAGTCCTTTTCCAGCCTACTTAATTATATTCACCTGTGATCTTTTAATTTAAGTTACAGGTTGGCACAAAGGTAACAAACCTATAAGATATGACCCTTTTAGGACGGATACTTTTGTTTCGATGTGAAAGTTTGTACATTATTATAATATTTAGAAATACATAGCATTTTACTCCCATTTTTAAGGACTATAAGTAATCAGGTATTTTGACTGCAAGTGGTTGTTGTATTTTATATATGTTTTTCCAATTTACATGTATTTTACATCTACCGATATCTTATCGAATATCTACTTAATAAAAACGGTAAGAGAATGAGACCATAAACAGTTCTATATAATAACTACTGTGTACTGTAGCAATAAGACATAAACCCTTGCCTGGTAATATACTTTTAAGTATCTTCCAGCCTGTAAATAATTCTTTCCAGAAGCCAAATCATCCATTTTCTAATATAACATATATCCATTGATTACGGGTATTTTCAAAAGATATTCAGAGTAATTGAGGGAAATAGTTCCATGTTTGATTTCTATATTGATTGTTTGCTGTAGAAGTTTTCTCTGGTGATCTGGTACTGGGTTAAATTTGATGCTGCATGTAAAAAAAAAATGGATAATTAAGGGTACGATAAGGACAGATCCACTGCCTGCCACATACCATCCTCGCTAGCCAAGTGTTCGCTTCATTTTAAGTGCAGTGTATACGAAGCGAACACTTGGCTAGCGAAGATGGCCACATACTGATAATTTTGTTTGCTGAAGATTTACACAAGTGGATGACTTTTTCTCAACTGTAAAGATATATATAACATAATTTATAAATATGGAAAATAAAAACTTACGTATATTTTGCAATATTTTGAATTGACTTGATGAATTTTTACTTTGGCAATTTTCAAGATGAGTTTATTATGGCAACTTTCTAGATTAGTTACTTAAGTTTCTTTTTTAGCTCACTTAGCCCTTCATATCAAGTGACCTTATGCCATGACATTGCATCGACACGTGTCTTTCATCAACTTTTCATTCAAACGCCTACTGGTCCAAAATGACAGAATGGCTTTTGACTAAATGGGCTCCAATGTTATATCCCAGAAAGGTGTGGCTCTTTTAGGGGACAGAGTAAAGAGGCAAAAAGTGTGAGATCTTTTTTTTAAAGAATACTTCTTAAATATGTGTTTAGGAGATTTGGATCTTATACATGTAATAAAAGCGTCCCTTGATAAGACTGGGCACAAAAGAGGAAATCATAGTTAATCTGTTAAAGACAAAAGATATAATATATAATATGACAGGGAAGTGGGTGTGTGGTTCAAATGAATAAGGTAAAGGCTTTCCTCTTAATATACTGTTCTACAGAAACAACAGACTTCAAACAGAATCATTTTGTTCTTTATTTTAAAATTCCTGAATCAATTACTTGTATCACATGCATCATTTTTTATATAAGCATTTATATAATAAGAGAAAATTGCATTATATACAGAAAAGGTTGTTAGTAACTTACATAATTTTACATATAAATTATATAAGAACAGAAAATTGCATAATATACAGCAAATAATTTAATGCAATTTTTAAAATTTACCTGGTAAATATTGAATTTAAGGAAGGGAAAACAAAACCTTTCAGAAAAAGCAATTTGTTATCAGCTACCATGTACCAGAATTTCATTTACATACTACCTGCTCTCATGCCACTTACCTCCATTTAATCTCCTACAGTTTACACTTAACACCAGAGATCTTCTGTTTACATACAGCTGTGAGTGAATATGATTTCATCAACTATTTTCGGAATGGACCTGCTTCAATGCAATAATTTTATATATAGCATTACAAAAATTGTTTATCCTTCTTTTCCATGGGCTTTACTTTCACTTTTGAACTCGAAGGCAATGACTTGATAATACTGAACAGGCTATTTTCATACTTCTAAGACTCATTATCAAAATAACATAGATGCATATGCCAGAAAATAGAAAGAACATATTTTCCAGGTTTCTAGTAAATAAACAAGACATGTTACTTATGGTTCAGTTTGTAAACCTGAAAGTACGCTTTCCATATTACAAGTATTAACAGAAAAAGACATTTTAACCAGGTACGTAATTCCAGATCTGCTGCAATAGAACATGGTGTAGCAATAACATCACACAGTAAAACATCAATTTGGCACATACTTTGAGCAAGTATACAGTAAATCCTTCATAAAATGATCCTCATTTTGTTTGGTTGACAACTCGCTTACTGCTTATGTTTTTCAATGTCTTCTTTCCCTTTTTTCTGTTCAGTTCTCGATATGTCTCTTTCAATTTATCACCAAACCCCTTTATAATGCAGACACTGACTTCTATACTTAAATGTGTAAATATCTTTCTACTCAAAGAATAACATAAAACAGATACAAAATTTAAACCAGTAACCAGAACAAATCAAAGGAATCAACAGATGATTTGTACATGTGCAAGAAACATCTCAAAGTGTCTTTAAATTGTCTTAGGTAAAAGAAGGGAATAATATCTAAAAAAAAATATTGAATTATATACAAGTAACCTTGACTCTATTATATGTCATGTTTTCCCCTGTCATATTTCACTCACTTAAAACCATTGTAGAAAAAATTCTAACAAGCAAGGTTATTGTTTTAGCAAGAAAATTCAAACAAGCATTAGGAAAATCATTCATTAAAAATTGGAATTAAAAAAAACTTTCAATAAATTCCTCACAATTTTCAGTCACAGACACACCTGTTAAAGCCACCTCCTTTTAAAAAGCCCACCTGTGTTGAGAGACCACCAGTGTAAAGGAACCACTTTTTGGGCTCTCCGAGGGAATTACAACATATGATATTTAAGAATTCACATCTCCACAAGTTCCATAAAAATCATCCCTTCTTAATAGCACCTAAGATGTTAGAAAGCAAAACGCATATCTTTTGATATAGTGGTAACTTCACAATAATTTGCCAACATATTGCAACAAACAAAATAACTAATACAAAAAATAATTACAAAATGTATATAACTTTCATATTAAAATTTCTTGATATGCATTTGCTATTTACTCATAAAATGTTCAAAATAAGCAACCTCTAATTTGGAAATCATTCACGAAAAACAACAGATTTACCTGAGATTTTCTCCAGATGTATCGCAATTTTTAGCTACAGGATTTTTTTTTATAGGTATAAGCCATAATTATTACATGAAGCATTAAACAACAACAACAATTAAAGCTTTGTATTAAAAACATGCATTAAAATGGCAATATTATCGACTACAATTTGCTTTATATAATAGTCTTGTCATAAAATATGTAAATCTACTTTGTCATATTTAATATAGTCCCCCAATTCCCCAATTTGGTATTTTATCTAAAAACTGTGTAGGCCATGTTTATATTTGGAATTTCTATATTACAAGCCATGATCGTATTGCCAAATAAATATGGTACTGTTCCTATGGCCGTTATCATCAATGTGTCTTCAGGTCCCTTGTAATATATTCAATGTCTTTTTCTTCAATTTTACAATATAAAGATGAAACTTCACATTATTATTATATAATTGAAAGGCAGGTAGTATTACTGTGAAAATACTTAATTTGCTACAATTATCCCTAACAGTTCTACCCGTGGGTCTTTTATAAGTATCTCGTATGTTTAGAGCTATCGCTTAATCCAAAATCATCTTTTCCAGCCTATCATAGAACAGTTTTAATAGGATGTGAATAGGATTACATTAACTATGTTATGCTACTCCTTATAGAAATATTCCTACCCCATGTTTCAGTTACACAATATTTTTGAGGACAAAACCAGGAGAAGTTAATATAACTCCTAATGCATATACTGTATAGCTATTGTGTCAAAACACCCAACAGCCACAGGATTTATTTGGTTCTGCCTTACAAACATATGGGATGCACACAGTATTTCCATTTCAATCTCATCTTCATATCAGTTGCCCTGTTCTTGATTATGGTTTTGGTGTTGAAGCCTGGCCAGGACAGCTCTACAGTGGTGCTGGACAGAAGGGCTGATAAAATACAGAAGGATAAACAGAGGTATCAACGTCCGCATAATTGTCCCAACAGTCGCTGTGACAACCTGTATCAAACCTAGGGCCATCGTCATTGGTAAAACGATGAAAGCCATAATCATTTGTATAACAGATACCAGTGTCTCCACTGTTACGTCTGCTAAGGTGGAGGCCACTTCCATAGTGCATAGAAATGAGCAATACAGGGGACGGACTACGATGTAAACCAAGCATGCCAGGAGTTCGTGAAAGATGAAGAAAAACGTGTGAAACACGGGAAAGATCACAGACTGTATGAGTCCATCTTTATGTTGGACATCCACCAGGAGAAGGACGACCAGCACAGCCAGGGAAATGGCTAGTACATGTTTCCAGTCCTCAGACAAGCCCGCCCACTTCCTCTTCAGGGCCTCTACAAGGTAGATTAATATATACCACTTTACTTATAATTGCAAAGCTAATCAGAACATCATGGAAAGTTTATACATAACAAAGACGTTAACATAATTTGTGTAGTTAATGCGATGTATGTTGCCTATCAAATAACAACACAATGTATTTTGGCCTGTTGATTAGAAGATTTAAAATATGAGGCAATGCATTGTAATTATATACATTATTATGTACAGTTCTGTATATAGAGTACAGCACAGTAAAACGCTTAGATCATACCTTTAACCTTTGATCAACAAGAGTTGATACATCATGTTTATTGTTTATCAATAAGATACGTAACACAAAAATAAAAATTACAAAGGAGGACAAATGCTGACTTTTGCCCTCCCAATTCTTGTACAATTACAACACATATTTTAAACCTAACTTTGGATCAACAGTTCATTGTACTATAAATTTATACATAATCAGTGTTATATTTTTTAGAATCGTTTTACTTGCAACGGACTAGAACAGTGATTGATGAAAACGGCTGAGTGGATGAAAAAATGTAGGATTACCCCTGTATATAGGTAGCAAGGCTTGTCAGAAACACACTTTTTTCACGTCTTATCATGATATGAAATGAATAATCAAAGGCACAAATTTATGAATTGAAAATAACTACAGTATAAGAAATAATGAGCCATTGGAAAAACAGCGTCTCTTTTCCAACAAAGATTGAACTGATAATCTCACCTGTGAGTGGATGGTGCATCACTCGGTGTTTACAATGACTGAAGCCCTGATGTAGACGCATCTTTACAAGGTTAAGTTTGTTCTCCAGACCTAAAACAACATATAAAATTATCTCACTTTATAAGATATGTAAAAAATCAATTCATCATGGTCTGTTTGTTTACTGATTAACATTGTAGAAGTCCAAAATTTTACACTGACATCATGAGTTTTCGGAGTCCTAATATAGAAAACGAAAAGATGGACAGAAAAAAATCACTTTTTTTAAAAAAATCTTTTCAATATATAGTTCCAATAACCTTAAGCAAAACGGATAACACTCTTACCATCAGCTTCCTGGATTTCTCCAACAAATTGTTTCCCATTGTTCCAGCCATTCCTGGCACAGTCCCACATACATTTGACACAGTCATATGATAGTATTCTGGCTACAATACAAAAACAACAAAACTCACCCTTTATAAACAGGCACATGTAAATCAGAAATTCTAAAAGGAAATAAGTTGTTGTTTGACAAACGTCTAGTCTAGTTTTAGTGGTCACATTATTTGTAGGTGACAATGAATTTAAAAGGTTTACATAAAATTTGCATAGCCTTGTCCTAAATAACAACAGTTAAAAAAAAAAAATATGATTTAGATGCTTTCCAATTTATTTATCTTGCTCAAAATATTATCTACCATGAATTATCACATGAAATAAATTACTGAAAATAACCAAAAAAAATCCAGTAAAATAGAACAAATGAAGAGTTTATTGTTTCTTTTCTAGTCTAAATTTAAACAAAGAAACGAGATATTTATGATGGAAAAAGAATCATTACCAGCATCACAAGGTTCACCTGAAATGTTGTTCATGTGGTACATCCCGACCAATGATACCCATACCTCAATTCAAGATATAAACAGGTATACAGTCAGATATTTACCTTGTCCTGTTTTTAAAATTTGTCTCACTTGGCTCCTTTTCCATATATTTTCTAAGGATTTTAAAATTGTTCCAACATCCGACACATCCCATGGATTGTCAACAGCATCATCATATTCTGTAATTTAAGGACATGATTATGATATGAAAAGTCAGATTTATTACCAACTTTCAAAATTATTTGTTTCTTTGGAAAATTCATGACCACTTCAAACATACTAAAAAAGGTAAAAATTATATATATTTGAAATGACAATCATCTGTTTGGTATGAATAATGAAGGCTAAGTTTGGTTTGAACACAAACAGGAATTGAAAATATATTTTGCGAGCTTGAGAAAATATCTGTTTCCTTTGTCAAGCGAAGAGTGCAAATGAACAGTGTCTCCAATGAGATCTAGTTATTGACCAGATGTTAACATAAATATCGTGTTTCTAGAATAGTATGGTAAAGATAATTTTACTGGTCTACAAATCATCTAGAACTTTATCCAAAGGACCTGAATCCATATTGTGATTGTTGCTGCCTAATTCAATTTATTTTTTAAAAAGACATTCTGTGTGTTATTATTATTGCAGTAATAGTTTATACCAATGAAAACTGGATAAATTTAATTACCTTACACTTATTTGATATGAAGAAGGACGTGTATTCCTATATAAGATAATGAGATAAGATTAAGGGCCATATCTCTTAAGAGAGGTTGAGACTACTATAAAGCTACAGTAATTTGAAAAGGTGAAGAAAATCCAGGGCCAAAACTCTCCTAATCACCCATTGAAACTGTACAACATGGTTTTATATACATTCCGAGTCTGAGGTTTACATATTGGGTTGCAGTACACATTACCTCAATATTGACCTTTGACATTTGCTGTGTTCTTGTACAGACAAGATTGTGGTATACAACACACTCTCCAGTCCTGCAGTGGTTAGGGCCTAAACAAGCATTACAATGCTTTGGTCTGGTACAAATTACTGAGCTACACATAAATAATGGCCCAGACAAGCATAAATATAACAAAGATCTGACTTAAATGTAATTGGCTCCTTGTGTTGTTTTTGACCTGTATGGTACAGATTAATATATATTTGGTATAAGTAATCAATCAGGACATGTCAGTGTGATGCATACACAACTCCAAAAACTGAAGGTCAAATGCACATACAAATGTACATAGAGTTTTGTTAAAACCTATACTGCCATTCAGATGCACAGACAAGAATATGGGATAGACGAATGGACATGGTGTAAGTACTTCTAGTCCACCCTGGTCTCACAGATTGTTTTGATGTATACGGGTATAATACCTATATCATTGACTTCCTCAGAGGTGTCAAACCTGATGATCTGAGCTTGTTCTATCTGGCATCTACACTGTGGGCAGTCCCTCGTTGTGCCGTTGTACGCGTGCTGTCTCTGCCATCGTCCGATACACATGTTACAGAACACATGGCCACATGGAATACAACATGTCGGTGTCTTGATGGCATCCAGGCAGATGGAGCAGTTCACCATCTTGTCATTTCTCCTACAATTATAATTTATTTTGTTTTATTATAATATATGTGATCTGGTGTCTTTGTAAAGAGTCATACTAAGAACTTCAGATTACGAAAACAGCTAAATAGTTGTTAATGTAACTGAGGTTAGTTTTCCCCAAGAGGTTCTGCTAGGAGTTGAAAGACTCAGACTTATGCTACAAACTACTCATCTAGTGTTTTGCTGATACATTTATTATGTACACACAAATGTTCAGCAAAAAGGAAATTCTTTCAATCTGCGTGACAAGCAATAAATGGTTCACCACAGTGACCTATACATATCATCATTGATCAAGTCTGTGATATACAGCAATTAAACAGGATTTTTTTGTCAGAATAGAAATTATCATTAATCACCACTGTACAACCTAAGGTTAAACTGAAAACTTCATAGGTTTTGATAACAATGTACCGTATTACTGAAAAATACTCCAGATCAATTTAAAAATAAAGGAATAAGGTTTGATTTTTAACATCAATTCATTATGTGTTACAGAATTTAATTCTCTTTTTACAGTGATCTTAACCTTTGAACTTGAAAAACAAACCCAAGCAAAAGCTTTTAGTGAAGAAACAGGGTAAAAAATTTGGTTTCATCAGGAAACAGCAACTAAGTTATTGTGCAGAAAACAATGTTCGATTTTAAGTGCCAATGACCTTGACTTGTTGATTATTTTTACATTCAAACCAAATAACATCCCAAGCAAACCCTTTAAGTGAAGAAGCACTTTAAATCTCCAACACAACCAAAGCAATCACAAGATGATGCTCTTGATATGTACCCCATTAACATCTAAACAGGTATATATATATATTACTAAAAAAAACCACAGTACTAGATATCAACCAATGACAATGAAGGACCGATTACTGATATTTCATCAAAGTTTTAGTATATAACATTCAATTTTAGGGTTTTGAACATTTTCCCATATGGACAGCCAAATGGCTTCACTGCTTAAGTCATATTTTGTTGTAGTATTATACCACATCACTTGATATTGGAATTGCAAGAACTGAGCAAAACTCTCATCAAAACACACAAAAATACAGGTACATTATACAGCTATGTATTTTATGTTTGATAATTTTACTCATTTAATTTCTAGCTTGTATTAGATTAAATACACCATGTCTCTTTGACTAGTATCACTTGCCTGAAATGGTATACACCTGACCATATAGCAAAATAAATCTAAGCTGTAATGCTGTAATCTCAGCCAATTTTAAAGAGGTTATAGGGGTCAAAACAGCCTTACTGGTTTATTTGATTTATTTTTTTGAAGTCATCCAAAATTACTGACCGCTGCAACAAATCTACAGTCCAAAATGTATCATTACTCTATGCATAACAGTTCTAAAGAAGAAAATGTTTGAATTTTGCAACATAGTATATATATATATGTTACCTTTTGACATTGTATCATGTATGTTGGTCAAGTATTTATTCAGCTTTATGATAGTCCCTCAACTCAGCAAGCTATAGACCAAACATAACTTTAACTCTAGGCTTCATGGTTCATTTGAAGTTTGCAATACCTAACTTTTAATGCCAATTAAGGTCATTTATTTGAACAAGAACTGATATTGCACATGATCTCTGTATTTTAATTAAGCTACCTGTACATGCCAAATTACATGACCCAAGGTGTTTTATGGTTCCATTAAATTAATAACTGGTTTGAAGAAAAACATAGGCAATGTTGATTGACAGCAAACTGATTATGTATCATAGATGAAGCTCTGAGGCACTTCATGCTAGGTGTGCTAAAAAAGATATAATAAACTAATTGTTGCTCAATTTACTGATCATTATTTTGACAATTCATAAAATGTACCATAGCTACTTAATATAACATCAATATTGTCTTCACTGCAACTCCTTAACCATCAAAAATATCCTTACGATTAAATTGTGCATGTGCATATATTATGCTATACATGATGTGTATATAATTTTAAAATACAACCCCTTGTTTATGTTGCCATTACCCACAACAATAACAAAATCTTCACTTCAGTGTGTTGAAGAACTTCTTTTATCATATGCTACACAAAACACTAAAATGAAATAATCATCCAAGTTATCGTATGGATCTTCAAATTTATAGGATTTTGATCACGATTTTATTAAACTATTTCCATACTTCTATTAAAAATGAAAGTAAACCTGCCTCAAGATATAACCTCCATTTAATACCTCTTCTCGACTAACTGTCCATAAACAAAAAACATTTCTCACTCCCATACTTTTTAAATATTCCCTTTCGCACGATCTTATCTTCTCTTAGCCTAGCACCCACTATCACATGACACGATCTTCAAATAGATGAAGGTGGTCATGATCATTACTATGTAGATGATGACATACTGTACAGTATATGTAGAACCGTGTTTTTCAAAAAAAACACTGCGCAAACACCCAATCACAACCGTATATCAATATTCAACGTATCGTTAGCAAAATGTACCACAAGCTTACAATCTCGAATAGCCTTCAATTATAACAATACTTAAGAATATACCTTAAAACTTGTAACAAAGGTAAAATCAGCACCAGTAGTTCACTATCCACAAATCACATTCGACAGTGGTCTCCCCTACCAAGTACACCGGAAGTAAACCAACATCCGGGTTCTGTTGCCTGGACAACAAAGTAAAGCCATCTTGCTTACAAGGGGAAGAACGAAATCGTTTTGATAGTTTTTGCCTCAAAACAATCGACATGGTAAGGTTTATCTTTGTTCAAATGTTATAAACAGTACGAATAGATATTTATGTGTTGATATGCTGGTTTAGAAAATCATAAAGCCGATAAATTGGCAGAAAAAGTGAAATGTTTTTGAATGATCACTGATAATGTGTTTCAATAACAAAATTCCTGACGTACACAACTATTAAAAACGAGTGTGCAACTTCGAAGACATAATCATATATATATATCTTAATCGTGATTTCAGAGTTATATATTTCAATCGTCTATAATTTTCCAGGCAGTCGTTGATTTGTTCAAAAAATGGAACAAAATACACACTCACATGAAATGATTTTGTGATTAAAGTTAACAGGAATACATTACATGTTATCGTTGGATTAGCATTACTGTCAATACGGTTATTTCAGGGGATCTGACTTGATCACTGTTGACCCACGGATACTAGGCTCGTCTTTCAATAGACTTATGGTATAACATGGATGCTATAACTCGATTCATTGCCTTAGTGAAATGACCCTGTTCCAGATGCGATTGTTTTATAACTTTTCTTAATATCCCCTCTGGTTGATGACGTAGTTCGATTCAATTTATCTAGTCTTTGTGGGATCCCTGATTCATAGCCCTCAGTTGTTTGCATTGATGCAGCGGACCTGAACTAGATCAATCGCCGGTAACCAGGAAGCTCATTTGGTTGGAGTGTGAAAATAAAGTTTGGAAGGTCCTGGGTTCGAATCCTAGTCTGTTCCATTGCATTTGTCCTTTCCTTTTATATTTGGTGCCAAACGAAGGCATTTTCCCATTAACAAATGTCAAACTCTGTGTGGTGTGTGGTCTGCTGAACTGGAGAAACATTGTTTCCAACCAGAGTATAAAAGTAAATGTCATAAACACAAGCTGTGATTATTCTTACATTTAGCTTGTTGATTTACTGTATTCACTAGCTAGCACAAACAGCTGGTGAAAATTTAAATCTGTGAACATACAATAAATGTATATACTTAAGGATCTGTGTATTTAAACATGAAATATTGGCATACATATACATGATTTACCTTGATCATCATATATGATGATCAAGCTATGATTATTCTTACATTTAGCTTGTGGATAGTGATATCGCAAGTGATAGATCAGTGTTTGCTGAGTGATTGTAGTCCATTGGTAATGTATTATTGTCCTGGATACCAAGTCACTAGTAAGACTGATTTAAAATAAAAATACATGTATGTTTAGTTGGTCCTCAAATTATTTGAAATTTGTGGTGATGAAACAGCCACAAATAGGTAAATCTCACTTCCAGATCTTCCAAACATGTGTATAGAGTTCTCAACGAATTCTGTTATCTTCGTTGTTTCTTAAGCTTTCCTCATCATACGTGGAGGGTTGTTGTCCTTTCCTATAAAGATACAGATGGTCATTGAAAACTAAAAAAAAAAATGAAAGAATAGCCTAGCCTGACATTGATGCCAACCATAATACTGTACATACAATTGATACATTAATTCTTATTTAATCTCCTCCTTGTATTTCATAATGCTGGTAACTTTAAGTTCAATTTCCTGAATTGAGAGCTATAATGTTCCAACTATCCCAAAGTTTAAAAAATACAAAACACCAAATGTAAAAACAAAGGATCACATTAATTACCATCACAGAATTTGAAGAAATGAAACAAAGTAATTCTAAAAAGATGCTCTTTTTTTCCAGCCTCCTAAAAAGAAGAAGAGTGGGAAGAAAGGAAAGAAGGGAAAGAAGTCTGGAAAGGCAAAAACACCAACTGTTATCGATGGAATTTCTACAGAGGAAATGTCTAAGGAACAGGTGAGAATGTGATTTGAGAAGTTGAAATGTGCATGATTTTGAAGAATATGTACTTGGAATTAATTCTTTTCTCCTTCTAACAAAAATAAGTTAGTTAATTTAAAAATGAAAATAAGGGAGATCTGCTTGATTGTGAGATTAAAATCAGGAATTGTCAAAACCAAATATTTCCACTATTTTAAGATTGTTTTTTTTGGCAGAAAAACAAAATCTGAAAGAAGCCTGTAGAAGTAAAAATGGTTTGGTTTAAATTGTTTCCATCAGTATAACCTACCCGTCAGATAATTGTTTAGAAAGTTGGCTCACCATCTGGAAAAAAAATTATATGATTTTTTTTAGAACAATATCTATATTTTATCAATGTTGTGTTAGTTTAGAACCTTGATTTGTTAATAAATTATACTGTATCTGTGCCTCAGGCTGTATGGATGCATTTGGTAGTCAGTAGTCAAAACTTGTTTTATGAATGAGAAAGCTCCAGGGAGTCTGATGGATAAAAATACCTAGACTATCCTATCTGTTACTACAGCTAGATTTTGACTTTGAGAAAAGTGATTTGTACTGCAGGAAAGTTAATTGTAAGAGTTTCAAAGTTGGGTGGTTTTCACAGAAAATCTGAAGTCATTACACTGTACTAATTTACACTTAAATCTGCGAGACTTAAAGACAAATTTCATTTATTTCTACATATTTAGAGGATCACAATGTATTGAAATGAAATGCAATTTTCTTGCCCAATACTATCAGTATCCTGATATTTACAAATTTCAATAATATATCCACTTACCTGTTGATCAGCAAATACAAACATTTGTATGTTTTGTTATTCAGCTGGAGGAGCACATTGTACGCCTCCGTGAAGAACTGGACAGAGAACGTGAAGAAAGAAATTACTTCCAGCTTGAGCGAGACAAAGTTAACACTTTCTGGGAAATTACAAAAAGACAATTGGAGGAAAAGAAAGCAGAATTACGTAATAAAGACAGAGAAATGGAAGATGGCGAAGAAAGACATCAAATAGAAATCAAGGTAGGTCTTTCAGTCTTGTTAAAACATGTTTAGTATGTTTTTAAAAATACATTAAGGTACTGTATATTATTTAACATATATATACCCAGGTAAATTTTCAATGGTACTGAAAATAAAATAACCAGATACAATGTACCACAATTGGCATTTTTCATAGAACCTGTATAGGTGATCAATTGACTTTAACTTTTTTCCTGACTCCCTCAAAAAATGCTTCAAGACAGTCGGGTTTGATATGCAGTAAGATATAAACCTTACATATTGTTGTTTACTTTCACAGGTTTATAAACAGAAAGTAAAGCATTTATTGTATGAGCACCAAAACAACATATCTGAGTTGAAGGCAGAAAGTGTTTGTGCTATCAAATTAGCCCAGGATGATCACAGGTCTGGTGAGAACGAATTACGGAAAGACAAGCGAGGCCTCAAAGTGGAACTCAAGGAGCGGGAACTTTCTCACGAGGACTACATTAAAAATTTAAAGAAGGTTTGTAATTAACTGCGTGAAATCTATTTTGATATCTTTTCTTATCCAAGTGTTTTCATTTATTCTGTTTTATTCTTGTTAAAGTACAAATATGGGCATAAAAATAAATAAATAATATTTTTGCACTATTGATGTTGATGATTATGTCCACTGTAAGTGTACAATATGTGAGTCATTTCTCCACAGAAACATGATGAACTGGTAACACAATTGAGGTCAGACTTTGAAAGACAATCTCGAGAAATTGAAGCCAAATATGAGAGGAAGATGAGAACTCTGCGGGATGAGCTAGATCTTAGGAGGAAGACTGAAATTCATGAGATTGAAGAGAGAAAGAATGGCCAAATTAATGAACTTATGAGAACGCATGAAAGGGCTTTCAGTGATATCAAGAACTACTACAATGACATCACACTCAACAACCTAGCTCTCATCAACACACTCAAGGTATGAATCTGTCATCTTTACAATTTATAATTTTTACGAAATTGTCTCAAATTATATATATATATGTATGAAACGTTGTACCTGTACGTAATGTCTACATGTACACTGTATAATATACCAGGCCTGCAGTGCCGTCTCTCCCTCTAGACATGGTTCTGCAATCCCAACCTTCCTCCCCCAAAATGATTCTCCCCAGTCAGTGAGCACGTATGTCAAGAATAACTCATTCATTCATTTACGACCCATTAATGTTTATATGTTTTATTGGCAAATGGTGTTTGGTGGCTGTCCTACATTATAGAACTCTTTAATACCTGGATCTGATTGAGCCATCTACGACATTATCTTTTGCTATGTTGGTACAACTTTATTCATACTCGGTTGTAAATGATACTTAGTGGAACTTTCTTGAACTAATGGATAGTCTACATGGTGAATGAGGTTATATTAAGATCCCCAACTCCACAATGGCCACAATACTGTCTGATTTGTTAATACCTTTTGGGTTATTATTTCTGTTCTGTTGGTATGGTTTTGTTTATACTTAAGAGTAATTGGTACTTGTCCAAAAACAAACGTGGGTATTATTATATATACATGAATTCAGAAATCCAGGACAACTGTGGCTTCTGCCTGGCAATCATAAGGATGTTCAAGCACACAGCAAGACCCTTAAGCTTCCAACCTGTCAAAGCCCTAGTTGTAATAAATAATAAAAACTATTTTTTTCTCTCTGAAATAATTTAGAAAATACATTGATAATGTATACAATATGTGTTGCTTACAATACCTTGATTGATTACCAATAAACAGGAGCAAGTAGAGGAGATGAAAAAGAAGGAAGAGAGAATGGAGAAGAGGATGGCAGAGGTGATTCCAGAAAACACCCGGCTACGGGAACAGTTGGAGAAAGCTAACGGGGAGGTTGATGATCTGAGGAAACAACTAGCCAACTATGAGAAGGACAAAGAGACTCTCAGGGTATGTGCAGTCGGTCTACATCTTTATGATACACAGTAAAACTGAACCATGGCATACTTGTTACACATCTGTAATTGTGTTGTGTCTGACAAGCATCTGTCAGAGAAATATAATGAACACTGTCAGAGAAACATGTTATACTGAACTGTCTTATCTGACAGTGGAGAGAGCGAAAAATGTATTCAAATGCAGAAGAAACAATTCCATTTGGCAGTAGTATGTAATCCCTGCTTTATTTTCCTGAACAGGTTGAAGTTATGATAATTTGTCAATATTTTCATTGAATTGTAACTTTACAAGTCTGAATGCATTACAATAGTCCATATATTGTTCCTCCGTCACCCTGGGCTATAACTTTATCTCAAGGCGTGTTCCTTTTAAAAATAGAAAATTTTAAAAAAGTGTAATATAAGAATTTTGAATTGATATTGTTTCCTGTAAAAAAATCAATACTATATTGTTACGATAGATGACCAAGGCAAGACTGAGAGTGACAGAGGATGACTTCAGAGCCATGAAGTGGGAACATGAGGTGCTCGAGCAGAGGTTTGAAAAGGTGAGGAGACTAAGTCCCTGAATAATTCCAAAATTATATCAGTGATCAAATATCAAAATGATGGAGGATAGACCAATGTCCAGAATAATATGCGTACCCGATCCTGCTTGTTTTTACATCTATAATTCTATGATAAGAAATGGGTAGCAATGCGCATTATAACAATTTCTGCAAATCAGAATTCTGAGGTAATGGTCCTTTGGTCATGAAGAAGTCTTAGACCTAATTCTTGAGGTTATTTTTCAATTGTCAGTTAATAGAAACTATCTGAAATCATATTTACAATAAATCAAAATTTGAAATTGCACCAAAAAATAAGGTAAAATAGATTAAAATTTTAAGATTTAAAGGGAAGACTGTTTCTTGGTGCCAGCTGGACATTTGTGGTTTGAGCTGTCACTCTATATAATGGAATGTTGAACATTAATGTAACTGCTACATTTGTTCTCCAACAGACACAAGGGGAGAGAGACGACCTGTACAAGAAGTTTGTGAAGGCCATCCATGAAGTACAACAGAAGAGTAACTTTAAGAATCTGTTGTTGGAGAAGAAACTGGGTGCTCTGGCTGACACGTTGGAGAAGAAGGAGGCCCAACTGAATGAAGTGTTATCTGCCTCCAATCTTGACCCCACCGCACTCACTGTTGTCACACGCAAACTCGAGGTAGCTATTGCACCCACAGAATGTTTATGCAAAATGTGTAAATTTTGTATTATCACTTTCTTAAAATATTTTATATTTTTTATTATCATTGTTCCATCACAGATACATAACAATAAAATAATTATAACATTTCATTACTTCTTTTGTAGTAAAACAATTGAAATCTCTGATTTAATTTTCATCCTCTATCCACTTGATATATATGTGTCATTTTAACATTACAGGATGTGCTTGACTCCAAGAACAGTGCTATCAAAGATCTACAGTACGAGTTGGCAAGAGTGTGTAAGGTAGGTACAGCTTCCTGGTTAACAGTATGCATCATAGAGCATCTTCACGATTCTCGCTATGTTATTTTAGATTGCTGGGTTCTGTAATAAGTCATATACAATGTATTTAATGATTTTTGCAATTAATTTTCATAATGATCTTAGTTGTTGCAAGGATGCTAAACCTCCCAAAAAATAAACAGTTTGTTTCAATTTTAGCAAACTAATTGTAAAAGAAGATATTGGACTTGTTTTGTGGTGTAGGTTTTTGAGTTGTTTCCCTTGGGCTTTAGCACTGCCTAGAAAGGAAATACTAATAATAGGCTCACTTATGAATTATTGTCTTCCTTTCCTTTTTCTCAAGGCTCACAATGATCTGCTGAGAACATATGAGGCAAAACTTATGCAGTTTGGTATACCCACGGAGGAACTAGGCTTCAAACCACTGGAGAGCACTGTAGGAGGCCAGGCATTAGGACAGGGACCCGCTGGACTGGTGTCTGCCCCATCATAGTCTATACTAACAGCCCTCCGAACATTCCTAGAACTTTTTGTGTCACTCCGTCCAATGGAAATCATGCAGACTTTTAAATTACATTATTATCTATAAAAAAAGTCAGAAATAAATGATTTTATAATTTGCTCTCAAGAGTCACTAAAATATTTATTTCGTGCAAAAGTGTCCATACATAGACATCGGTTTTACAATGACAGCTACTTGGTATGTATCACTTAGGGTTGAAAAAGCCAGAGACAAACACTTAGGAATCGATGTATATAGATAGAAGTTTATGAGTGAAGCAGAATACTGGGGGGAACAAACCTTTAAGATGTGTACTCAAATAACAATGAACTTATTCATACAAGCCCTAAGGAGCAGCTAGGATGGTGCCCCGACTGTTTGTGAACTCACCTTCAACGGCACTGCTCTGCCTGGACACTCCACCAATAATAATCTACACATCCTTGTGACCAAAAACAGGTGTTAATGGAAATAATTTGATCTTTATAAAAGTACCATTATTTATTATTGACTTTTATTTTGTGAATACTTTTTGTACATTCACATGTCATTTATCTGTGATAGCTAAATTGTACTTATACATTGTAAACTAAAAAAGTAATGTAATGTATACTGTACAAAATTAAAAACAAAACAAAACAAACCTGATCGTTTTTTGTTTCTTCAAACCTGTGACAGCATTTATTGTCTATATGTACTGATATTATAACAAAGATTCTGAAACCCAGAAGATAGATGTCATTTGATTCATTTTCAAAATAGTTCTATTAGCTCTAGACTTCTACTTGAATGGTACACAGTGGCTGCTGAAAAATGTTGAGATTTAAATAAAAAAATATGTCTGAAACGTCGTTTATTTGAGGGACTTTGTAAACTAATGAAAGTATGAAAGCATGTCTGAATATCAACACAGTTATCAACCTAGAGATTAATGTAATAAGTGGTACTGGGGGCACCATTTAGCAGTAACATAAAATATCTGTACTTATACTTAAAAAACATGTCATCTTCAGGTGTTCAGTAGTTACTGTCTAGGCAAGAATTGGACTGCAATTATACTGATGTTGACCTAACTGGTGTAAACTTGAATATCAAATGAGCTATCTTTACACCATACTATCATTATGAAATACATTTTCATTCAGATTTTTGTTCACCAATGTCTTGATCTACACCATGGATTGTAACCTTGTTGTGGTTGGGGGACCTGCATGTTTTGATGAGTTTGAGGGTTTTGCTGGGTAGATACAACCACACCATGCTCAAAAATGGATTTTGTGCTCAAGCCAAATTTCTTGTTTCCGTTATAAATTAATCAAAAATCTTATTTTGTCACTGGTTTGGAAAACCAATGCGGAGACTTAAAGCCGAAAACTGTTTATAATGTTTACGTTTGACTTTTTGTTGGTTTGACATGATTTAAGTGATTTACAAGAATGTTGGTTTGAACACAAAATCATTACTTGAGCATGAGAACGGTTTCATGAATACAGGCCCTGGAATTTCCTAATGTGGCATTACAGCACACGGCAAGTGTTAAATGTCACATCGGCAAACATTATGTGTCAAAATCAATCTGACGATTGCTACAGCAGGGAGACAAATACACCAGCACACTGCCCCTAGCAAAACACCCATATATTGCACACATGAAGACACGTCCTTAAACACTTAGGCTGTCAATAGGGGGCTAAACCTATGTCCATGTTTATAAAGCTGTCACGGACAGGGGCAATGTAACACTTACAAACATGTCACATTTCAACAAAGTCTGGACAGGACAATACAGAAATAAGCTGTACTTTTTAAGGTAAATACAATAAAGTTACAAGTTTCATATAATACGAATATATATTTATTCAGCAATGTGTTCTATAATTCTATAAAAATACCAACAGAAAATATTTCAGTGTGCTGTAATATGTACACCCCCTATTTGAGTCGGTGATTATATGTTACAGTTGGTCCATGGGATTAATGCAGGACAAATACGGTATAAATGGGCAAACATGTCCTCGAAACAGGATAATCTATATTTCTAAATAAAAATGGGGTTTCCGGTATCAAGAATAAATTTTGAGAATGAGAAACGAGTTAATTTTTCTTTATATCATACACATGTACAACTTATCTTTTCATCAAGACATGTACAACTGTTCAATTGGCATTTGGTGGTTATTGGTGGATATTGGTGGTTATTGGTGGATATTCTATTTTGGCACCACCAGTTCAGTATTTTTCATAAATTCTCGACGTCATTGAACGGTTTCTTGTAACGTCGTAATTGGTGATGGTATATACAATGTAGCTGTCGGAGTTGATGATACGTTCTCATCCTTACTCGTTATACAGTTCGGAAAATTATCCTGATACGGTGTTTTATAATTATTACTGAAAATGTCCAGTTGCCCGCCCCAGCAACAAGTGCACGTGTCGTCATGGTGTGTTATATTAAGGATGGAGTGATTATGCATTTATGTATCTGGATATACAGAATTGTAAGTATGTTTCTCTGTGCGCTGATATCTAAAAGGAAAATAAATAGAACTTGGATGCAAGTCAATCTAGGTCGGTCATGAAGTGTATGGCCCTCTTAATATGCATTTTGTGCCTTCGTTACATAATGAACACTTTGTTTATCTTTATATATTGAACTAGGTCGGTCATGAAGTGCATGGCCCTCTTAATATGCATTTTGTGGGTTCGTTACATAATGAACACTGTATGTATCTTTATATATTGAACTGTTAATATGTTTCTCTATGCATTGCTTTGTAAAGGGAGAATTAATTAAACTATGATTAAAACGTTAATTGCTAGACGGCAATACTATTATATCGTGTTAATCACCGTAACCATTAACAGTGAATAAATTAAGGACGTGTCAACTAAACCATCATTCTATAAAAATCAAAAATCTATAAAACTAGTGCAAAAAAGTATAAACAAGGAAAACACTTACATGGATCTCCTTGAAAAAGTACAAGAAGTAAAAGACCAGAAGTTCCGGAAGGGTAAGCGTCCTCTAATTCATCGACAACATTCGCCATAAATCTCGGTCAAATCCACTTTAACGTCACGTCCGAATTGGGGTCGTGATAACAAAACCACAAGCATAATCAGAAAAGTCGACCTTCATATCACAAAAATAAATATCATATTTTCATATTTAATCATGATGGTTATCATAAAACTTGTCTTATTCTTCATCAACCTGCATCTTCGGATACCGAGTTAACGTCGACATGTAAACACCAAAGGTTGGTGAAGTAGTGGTGTATCAAAACACGAAAACTTAACGATCGGAAAGTCGAAATCCTCCCGCTTGTTGTACATCTCTTGTCATTTAAAGACAGCACATCATGTCGTATCTGTACCTGTGTCTAGAGTTTTAATGGGGTTTTTCAGTGTTTTAGTCTTTATTACTAGTTACCTGCTTTATTTATCTATTATTTATTTACTTACCAATTTAGCTTAACTTCTGCTTTGCATAGCGCTTTTATATACCAATAACTGGCAGCATAGTTTCTAGCCCTGTCTTCTAATCATCATTATAGCTAAATATCTTTTACTTACTAGTCCTTGTCGTCCTATTTTAATTTACACTATATTAGTGTATATTATGTCAATTTTTATTCTTTTGCCATATTAGCATGTATGTTCATTACTCTTGAAGTGTTTTAGCCCTCCAATATATAGCAACACCTGTGTGATATGCAGGTGTTTCACTAATATCTCTTTACATCATTTTTAGTATAGTACTTTAAATTTAGTGCCTGTGATATCCAATTAAATGCTGCTATGTTATTGTATGTTTTACTCGCTGATTATGTGCTAGCTTACTGTGATAGTGTAAAGCTTGATTTGTTGTTTTCTGTTTGCTTTTTATCATGTTTGTCGCAAAAATAGCATTACAGCGCTAATGTTTCTCTGTTTGATATACATGCGACGTTAAATAAAGTTTCTTGTATTTTGTATCTTGTATCATCGATATATCTTAATGAAAAACTGAAGGACTTGTTTTTTTTATGTTCTGAAATCCTGATAGACTCATCAATAAGTGCAGCATCATATGAAAGCAAAACCCGAATGGAACAAAGATATTCGTCAACCAAGAAATGCATCATTGTCATAATTTTGTCCTATTATTTTGCCATTCGAAAGGAAAATCATAATAAGAGAAAGAATGCGTCTATGCTATTAGGTATGGAAGTGTAAAGATTAGAACAGCCAAAAGTGTTTATAGAAGAACCACATTTCTTGATATGACCGCGATGTTCAAGATTGATCAAAAGATCTTTTTAATTCTTCAAAATCCACGTTCCACTTCTCTAGTATAAAGTGTCACAACACGACTTTAACCCTGATTAACTGGTACTCAGAATGGTGGCGATCATTGGTGGGTGTTCGGAAAGATTGTTATACAGAAGCGTGATTAGCTAGTATATATTTAGTATTTAGAAAACGTATGGGTAGGGGTATCCTTGGTTATAAAGCAAGCATAATTCTTTGTGCAAGCAAGCCACCTGATACAGTTTTCAGACCAAGTTGAATTACTTTATTCTTTGTCTGCTGCCACATCATGCAGGTCGCTGAGTGTTGTTTTGGCACCACGGTCAAGTAATACAGTCTTCATTTTGGTTTCAAGCAGCTACTTCCTTTTTTTGGAATGACAGACCTGATAGATTTGACCCTATCTGAAAGTGACCAACTTCAGCATGGTTCGTTTTGCTTATTGTCTGGCGTAGTCTCTACTAAATTCATCATTATTTTGAAATTTACTTTCCAGTTGATAGTAGGAGTCTCTTGATACTTTGGACCCTTCATGAAAAACCTTATGGATAATACTTAAATCGCCAGTTAATACATGTCCATCTGTATTATTATAGGTGTAGACTAACTGCAAGAAGTGAAAAGGGTATTTGTGTATCTGAAGTACGGTGCTATGTTAGCTCCGATACACCTTTGATGTAGGATATTGCTTATGTTGATTCGACTTTCATGAACTTTCGATACATACGAACAGGCCTTAAGAGTCAGATCTATTCCATATCTTCAATAAATTCATGAAGTCTCCGACAGAGTTTCCAAATGTCATCAGGAACAGAAGAATATCGTCTTGTAAATTTCGTAATGCATAGGATGAACCATTACAGTACTGTTCGAACATGGTGGACGCCCAATTTTCTCTAGAGTTTCCATCAGGTCTTCGAACGTTACATTGTACTCGGACTTTACAGTCGATGACCAGGGCCCGTATTCATGAAACCGTTCTCATGCTCAGGCATGGATTTTGTGCTCAAGCCCAATTTCTTCTGCTGGCTGTAACTTATTTTTAAAATATTATTTTGTCAATGATTTGGGGGGGGGGGGGGGGGGAAATTGAAGAGACTTAGAAGCCGAGTATTGTTTTTAATGTTTACAATTGACTTTATGATTGTTTGATATGATTTCAGTGAGTTTCAAGAAAACTGGTTTGAGCACTAAATCCATGCTTGAGCATGAGAACGGTTTCATGAATACGGGCCCCGGACTACGTTAACGTCACCTTTGAGGAATGAACAAAGATATACAATGGTATGATGACTACCTCGGTACATCCTGGTCTCAACAATCCATCTAATCCAGCTGTCTACAATACGG